TTGTTTTTAAGAGAAAACCCCCCCCCCCCCCAAAGAAATGTACTCTGCTGTCTGTGGCAAATGGTGGTTGTATAGGCATCAGAGGTTTCTAATTTCCTGGCAAGAGGAAGTGTTATAGCTGGTAGCAGCAGAAGAGAAGAAGAAATGGTATTCATGGTCTTAGTGATCATATTTAGGTAACTCCAGTGCTCTGAAAGATTTTTCATTTTGTTTTTTGAATTGATTTAGTCTCTAATTTCAAAGTAATTGGCCTCTTAGACATTTAGGAGTAAATAAGAGGCTATTCAATGAAAAAAAAACTTTTTTTGGCCTTCTGGAAGACTTGTTAAGGGAGGTTGTGGTGGGAACTGTCCCCTGACAATCTCTGTAAGTTTGTCAGAGGCTAGAGTCATGGTGTCCAACACGGTAGCCACTAACCACATGTGGCTGTTTGGCCAGTTGAGTGTGGCTAGTTCATTATAGCAGTAACCACTATAGTGGCTACTGCTTCAGAACTGGTTGGACACCATGGGGCTACAGAGTAGCAGTTGTCAAATGATAGAATACTAGAGCTGGAAGGGACCCGACCTCATGACATCAAGTTTAGTCGACAGAAGAGCTTATCGAAACTTGGCAGTGTTCAGGGGAAGTTAAGAGCAAGGGAAAAGGAGCCTTCTCTCACTGGCAATCTCTACACAGAGGTTGGGGATTTTCCCTTCCTGATATACTGACCACCAACCCTCTTGCCAGCCATATTTTCCCCCTGCTGTGTGTATTTTTTAAAGTAGTGCTTACTATGTTTTATTTAAAAATCTGTGCAGGACTGGGCCCTGGGAAGGGGTTACTGACAGTGCCTTGTTCAGTTCATGATACAGTCAAACTTCTCTAGCCTGGAATGTATGGCACATAGTTTCTAGTACTGGCAGACTATCAAGTTTTATATGATTTCTGAACTGTCTTAAGTGAAAATCTAAATTACTTTTATTTAGAAATGTGCATTCTGGGCTGTAATCAATGTTTGTTCAGGACCAACCCCATAAATACCATCTCCCTGTATAATGGAACAAGTTGATCATGGTAAAGGAAATTATAAATAGTTGTGCAAGTACTGGGGATAGTAAAATAAATAAATAAATGCTGACATTGATGAAGAGGGAGTGATGAGCGCAGTTAGAGCTGTTTCTAGAAGTACTGTCAACCACACTTACCTCAGCGTTACAGTAAATGTTGTGCACATCCTGAATAAAATATCAGCTTCCTATTAGAGCAGAATTGCTTTAATGTCAGTGTTTTATTTTAATCTTCTTTCTCTTCCAGTTTGAACGGCATGACCCTGCGAATGGGCGGATCACTGAGCGTCAGTTCGGTGGCATGCTGCTGGCATATAGTGGAGTGCAGTCAAAGAAACTCACACTCATGCTTAAGCAACTCAGGAAACATTTTCAGGATGGAGAGGTTAGTGGCTTTCATGCAGACCAAAAAGATATGACTTTCTGATGGGTGCTTCCATAGTGCTTTGCACTGTGAAATGAAACCTCTAATGTGAATAAACTTATAGAACAAATAATTTCATTGCTCACATATATTGCCATTGATTTTTACTTGTCAAAATGTATCTTAGTAGTTCAATAATTCTTGATATCAAAATACAGCACAGGCTGGAGTCAAACAAAATACTTTGCTGTGAAAAATTATAGATCAAAGCTGTGGGCTGGCACAGACTGGGCTTACCCTAAAATTAATATGCTCTGACTCCTGAAGAAAAGCACCTGACTCTCTAAAATCTATTCAGGCCCCAGGAGCCACATTGACTTCAGATGATCAACCAATCACCAGTAGTAAGGAGTCAAAAATGCATAAGTCTAGTGATCAGTGTCTGTTTGTGTGTATAATGACAGATGGCTTTACACATTTTAAAATGAGTGCCTTCCAAATGTGGGTGTAGAAAGACTTAACATTAATTTTTGAAATCACACTTTCTGAAGAAAGCCCCCACATGTTTAGCCTGAACAAACACTAAAGACTGATGTCCAACAGTTGACTTGACCTTGGATTAATTGCACAGTATGATTGGGTAGTTAATCATTTTATTATGAACTTATAAGAAAAATGTATTATGGGAATTAGATGCAAAATTTGGAGGGGAAAAGTTTGTAGTCCTTGCAGTAAATTCAGGAGACCTTAGAATAAAACACTTAACCTCAAAGGATATCTTTTACATGTTAATGAAGGTGTGGGTTGCTAAATCACTATAGGATTAGAATTTTGTGTCTGCTTCTATAGAGATGGATAGTGCTCCTTTTTTATTACTTATTTTTTAATATAGCAGTTAACCAAAATGAGAACTGAGACCTTTGCTTTTGTGGCTAATTGGCCTGAATGTTGTAGAACCACTTCCTCTTAGCAGCAGTGCTGTCTTATATTTCTTAATCTTGTTAGTCCATTTTGTGATGGAAAATATATTAACAAATATTGGACCAGATTCTGACCAACCTTAGCATCCCTTTAGGCTGCTTCTTAAAGCTGTGTCTGCCGCACCCAGCATACAGGATGTTAAAAGAAATAGGGCATTTCAAGGAGCCGAAACACAGTTTATTCAAGCAGTTCTTTCTGGCGTAATGGGCCTTAAGTGGCATTAAAAGCTAATTAAAACTAAAGCAGCCGCTAGGTTGCTCTAAGTTGCTTTAGGGACTGGTTTGGTCCCTGTTCTGTCAAAGCTAACAATTTATGCTGTTATGTTTTCCATTGTTAGTGTCAACTTCTTTCACAATACCCAGAACATAACAGATGTAGAAGCAACTTGATTATTACCATATATCAGGGTTAATTAGCCACTGTGCTTTCCTTGAAATTGTAAATTAACCAAAGGTTAAAAAATAAACAGAAATCTCCTTACTGAGTCAAAAAAATCAAAATTCAGATTGTCAGAGAGCACATCATTCGCCTCCATACTGGCACCTCATCCAGCTCATTCGGGGGTTTAGCTCAAGGCTGACAACCCAATTCACAGTCTGCACACTGTCACTCCTCTGCAGTCCAACTGTAACCCCTCTCACAGTGTCAGAAACCACAGCATCCTCTTTGTGGCTTGGCCATCTAGCCATGTCACAATGTTCCCCTTTTCTGGGGGAGGTTAGCTCCAGCCACTTTCCCAGTGTGGCAACTCCAGTCAGTTGTTGTTCCACTTCCCCAGTGGCAAGTGAAGGTGGGGAACTCAGGCCTGCCTACTAATCCAAGTTCCAGCCCAAGGATTCTCCAAAAAGCAGTCACTTACTAGATTCTTTTACCATTACTATCAGTGCATTTCCCTGAGCTATTTCCCTGTAGCCACAACACCCTACTCAATCTCAGCAGCCCATCAGGAGCTAAGGATGTTAAATTGCGGTTATTTGGTTAATCATGTAGTCGATAAGGACTGCTCTGTAGAGCCACAACGAGGGTAGCTCTAGGAGCTGGTTCGAGCCAGGACTGAGCAGCACCGGCTCTGGGAGCCGTCCACACTGCAGTTCTGCATTTTAAATGTCCGGCTCTTACTACATTTAAAATGCAGAAGCGCAGCATCCCAGACCAGCACAAGTTGGGACTGCTCACCTTTGTCTGCAGCCAACACTGTCCACCGCGAACAGGGGCTCCTGTGGGCTGCTTTTAAACTGGCTCCACCCACCACCAGTTCTTGTGTCCCCCTCCGAGGCAGCAAGGGGGTGGGAGGAAGCAAGTAGTCGATACTCCAGTCGACTACCCAATAAGCTTATGCTATTGGGAGCGCCTTCTCTTCTCACAAGGCTCCTGTTTGCACTGCTCTGTCCAACTATGGGGTTATAGCCTACTTCAAAGAGTCCTCCCTCCTCAAGCTCCAGGACCCTGCTCTGCCCAGAGGCTCTTTTTCTGTGGATTTCACAGGTCCTGATTGGTTGCTCATAACAGCCCCTCTCTTTTTGGATACTTTTCATGTAGCCTCTCCTTCCTAGCCAATATAGGACACATTTTCTATCACACATGTATTTTAGAACTGCACTGGTAGAGGCCAGGGAGGCCTGAAATATGTTCATGTCAGCCACATGCTCCAATGATTTTGCAAAGATGATACTTCCCTGAGCTCCTAAGTGGGGTCCTGCTCATGCCACGTACAAAACTTCTTGTGAAACTTCACTCTTTTCTCAGCACACAGTATTTAACAGTTCACAGAAATTGAGTTCCGTGAGCGTAACATGTAGAACATTGCATATACCAGTTCCACTGGTAAAATGCAGGCTTCAGTAAAGTTACAAGCTAAATCCTGGCATTGGTTTTAGAATTGTATAAGCTGTGACATACCTAGACCATCTGGCTGCTGTAGTCTGATCAAAGGTAGTTATCCTGGCCTCTGGGTGAATAGTTTTCTGATCCCTGAGTAACCAGGGCAAGGGCTGGTGCAGTGCAACCAGGAATATCCTGGAGCCAATTAAGAGCTTGTAAGAAGCAAGAGAGAGATAGGTTAATCTGAAAACCTGCAGCCCAATAAGGATTTGCTTGGACTAGATAAAAAGGCTTCCCTTCAGGGAGGGCTGGAAGGTAAGGACTAGGAGTGAAGAGGTACGCTGTAGAAGAGTAGAAAGGACATGGTCAGTGCCAGGAAGAAGGTACTGAGAGGTTGTATGGGGAAGTGGCTTAGGGAAGGACCTGCAGCTCTGGTGGGGGAGGAAACACCACCTGTTGCTGCTGCCATTAGACTCCCTGGGCCAGAATATGGAGTAGAGGGTGGGCCCGGGTCCCCCCAACCCTCCCTGCACCACTACAGAGACTACCCCTGAAAGGGGAGGTTGGGACTACAGAGGGGCCTCACACCCATTTGACTGGCCTATGAAGAAGGTGGCTCAGTTGTCTTTGACCCCTGGTCTATAATAAGAGTAAGAGACCATGTTGGGGGATCACAGAGAGCCTCTGTAGCATATGCTAACCACCAGGACCCCTAAAGCAAAGCTGGTGCTCTGCCACAAAGCACTCACTCTCCCCCTCCCCCCCCAAACAAATTAATGAAAACTAGGAAAATTTATCTTTAAAGCACAAATAGAATATGTAGTTACAAGTAAACCCTAAAAGCTTAAGAAATTCTCCATGTAGAGTTGAATGACACACTAAGCCCTGTCTACAGTAGTAGTGGCAGTAGTGCAGTGGGAGAAGACTACTCAAAATATGCCAGTGTAGATGTAGACTTAAAGAGCAAGTTATTGGCATTCATTTAAAGAGATCTTTAAATTGTATTGGGAGAGTCTCTAGCCTTCAGATAGAATGTTAGTAGGGATACGAGGACAGAATCCTTTTGGAATTGTACATTATAGTAACACTGCTTTTAAAAGTCTGTCTGTCTATCTTAGAGACTCGTGCTTCTGTGTGTATGTGTCTGTTTGCGAGTCTGCTTGTTCAGGAACTCCTCCTAAACAGTAAAAGCTAGAACCACCAAATTTGGTATTCACCTTCTTTGTATCCTAACTTAAGCAAGGTCAGGGTTTGCTTGTGCCGGGACAATTGGAAGTGGCGGGAAATGGACAGTTTTCCATAACATGGAAAGGGAGGGGATGTTTGGAGGGAAATGATACTGAGAGTGTCCACTGGGGGCAGTGAGTCTGCAGGGGAGAGCTATCCTGCAGTGTCCACTGGAGCCAGCCATACCACCAAGGGAGTGGTGAGAAGGGGTCTGCAGTGTCCACTGGAGCCAGCCATACCACCAAGGGAGTGGCGAGTAGGGCTGGGGCTCTGCCATCTTGCCTGCCAGCACATTAGGTAAGTAGCCTCTCTGCCCCAAATCCTTTTCCCTCCTTTCTCGCCCTTGGCCACAGTGCCCATGGTGGGGGAGGGGAGGTGGGGGAGGAAGAGAAAAGGTAGGTAGGTGTGTGTGTGTGTGTGTGTGTGTGTGTGTGTGAGAGAGAGAGAGGCAGACACACACACATACACATGGACTAAATAGAAGGAGCATCTAGTTGTAGCTCACATAGTCCTGGTGTATGTAACCAGTCGGACATGACCCCCTCTCCCTCCTTTTCACTGGTGTCTAGAATCCCAAGCATTGTTACAGGCTGGGGACTGAATGGCTAAGTAGCAGTTCAGCAGAAAAGGACCTGGGGATTACAGTGGATGAGAAGCTGGATGTGAGTCAACAGTGTGCACTTGTAGCCAAGAAGGCTAATGGCATATTCGGTTGCATTAGGAGGAGCATTGCCAGCAGATCCAGAAAAGTGATTATTCCCCTTTATTCGGCTCTGGTGAGGCAACATCTGGACAATTGTGTACAGTTCTGAGCCCCCCACTATAGAAAGGATGTAGACACATTGGAAAGGGTCCAGCAGAGGGCAACCAAAATGATTAGGGGGCTGGAGCACATGACCTATGAGGAGAGACTGAGGGAGTTGGGTCTGTTTAGTCTGCAGAAGAGAAGAGTGAGGGGGGATTTGATAGCAGCCTTCAACTTCCTGAAGGGAGGTTCCAAAGAGGATGGAGAAAAGCTGTTCACAGTAGTGACGGATGGCAGAACAAGGAGCAATGGTCTCAAGTTACAGTGGGGGAGGTCTAGGTTGTATATTAGGAAAAACTATTTCACTAGGAGGGTAGTGAAGTACTGGAATGGGTTACCTATGGAGGTGGTGGAATCTCCGTCCTTAGAGGTTTTTAAGTCTCGGCTTGACAAAGCCCTGGCTGGGTTGATTTAGTTGGGATTAGTCCTGCCTTGGACAGGGGGCTGGACTTGATGACCTCCTGAGGTCTCTTCCAGCTCTGTGATTCTATGATTTTATGACCAGACATACTCCTCTGCTGTTCTCTTCTTCCCTGACCTTGGCTTTCTTAGTTCTAAATTGTTACGCTTTTTATCGTGCCTTTGGTATGTTATCTGTACCCAACGCCATGAGGCCCCATTTTGCTTAGAAACTATATTGCTTATGAATATGTATGTTACCTGTGGAATGTGTGTGAGGTGTTAATAAGAAATACCCAACCAAAAAGGCAGTTTAGGATCCATGATCTTTTAAGGCAGACACCCTGCAAGCAGATAAATTGCCATTCACACTGCGGGCATTTCTGCTTTTGAAGTGTACAAGAGCCCTCCAGAAGTACCACAGGGAGCAGAGACTTGAGCAGTCCCCACTCTGCGGTATCCCCCCGTTGTTCCCTCTCAGACTAGTCGCTGCCTCTCAGTTTCCTAGTCGCTGCTCTGAGAGACAGCAAGGGAGAGGAGTCAGAAGCCAGTGCTGGGGGGAGCCAGCTTAAAAACTGGTTTCCACCCAGCACCGTTTCTGGGGTGTCGCCAGTTCCCCACCCCGCAACCTCTATCAGAGGCAGCAGGCGGAGGGAGAAGATAGGGGACACCTTAACTGAATGTTAGGTTGATAATTTCCCAGCCATCCCTGCCAACAGCAGCGGTGGAGAAGGGCAGCCCAAGCTCCCTGCAGACAGGCTGCTCCATATCCCGCGGAGGCTATTCCACAGCAGCAGCTGGTCCATGGCAGGGGTTGCTGCTGCCACAGTACAGCCTCCATCCATAGTGAGCTCAGACCCCCTATAGACAGGGGGCTGCTGCCACCCCACACTGCTTTCCCTTTATCAGAGGCAGCAGCGCAAGGCAGCAGGCAGCCGGGCTGTGAGGGGCGCTTGTTTTTAAGCTGGCTCCCCTTGCAGACCGGCTCCCGCCCACCACCCTGCACTACTGCCTCTGAGATAGGGGCAGCAGCATGGGATGGCAGGGGGCTCCCTGAAAGTGGGGTTGGGAGCACACTGGCTGCCATCCCCGTCCCTGTCGACTATTGAATAGTCATGTAAGCACTAAGATTTCATGTGGTTACATGATTATTCATTCAATTACACAATACCTAATACCTCCATAGAACACTAGAACTGGAAGGGACCTTGAGAGGTCATCAAGTTCAGTCCCCTGCCCTCATGGCAGGACTAAGCACCATCTAGATTATAGATGTTTACCTAACCTGCTCTTAAATATCTCCAGTGATGGAGATTCCACAACCTCCCTAGGCAATTTATTCCAGTGTTTAACCACCTCGACAGGAAGTTTTTCATAATGTCCAACCTACACCTCCCTTTCTGCAGTTTACGCCTATTGCTTCTTATCCTATCATCAGAGGCCAAGGAGAATAATTTTCCTTCCTCTTCCCTGTGACAACCTTTTATATACCTGAAAACTGCTATCATGTCCCCTCTCAGTCTTTTCTTTTCCAAATTAAAGAAGCCCAACTCTTTCAGTTTTCCCTCATAGCTCACGTCTTCTAGACGTTTAATAATTTTTATTGCTCTTCTCTGAGCCTTCTCCAATTTCTTCACATCTTTCAAAAAATATGGTGCCCAGAACTGGATATAGTACTCCCAATTGAGGCCTAATCAGCATGGAATAGAGCGGAAGAATGACTTCTCGTGTCTTGCTCACAACACTACTGTTAATGCAACCCAAAATGGTGTTTCCTTTTTTTTTTCTTTTTGCAACAGTGTCTCACTGACTCATATTTAGCTTGTTGACCACTATGAGCCGTAGATCCCTTTCTGCAGAATTCCTTCCTAGACAGTTGCTTACCATTCTGTATGTGTGAAACTGATTGTTCCTTCCTAAGTGGAGTACTTTGCATTTGTCCTTATTAAACTTCATCCTATCTACCTCAAACCATTTCTCCAATTTCCAAAATTCTCAATGTGAGTCATTCCTTAGATCTGACAGAGCCATTATCTCAACATGTAGAGAATATCATTTGAATTATTTTACATACCAAAGATCCAGAAGAAAATTAAAGTATGAAAGGACTTTTTACTTTCCTGCATTCTGTTTCAGCATGTAAGTTGTGCTAACGTACACCCTCTTCTGATTGTATGTAAGGGAACCTGCTCTGCAAAGAAAAACTCACTGTGTCAATTCTTAGAGCCCAGGTCAATAGACTTGGGCTTATAGGGCTTGGGCCGTGGAACTAAAAGAAGCAGTGTAGGTGCCTGCTCAGGCTGAAATAATGACCACCAGGGTTCACCCACCCACACCAGGTTTCAGAACCCAAGCTCCAGCCTAACCCTGAATGTCTGCAATGCTGTTTTTAGCCCTGCAGCTCAAGTCTGCAAGCCCAAACCAATTGATCTGGGCTATGACTCAGCACCATGGGTTTTTCTTTAAAGTGCTGACATACTCCAAGTGACCTGAAGTGTTAGGGGAGTTTTACTGAGACCTCTGAATTTGTCCTGAAGGCTCTATTTTTAGTGTCAACCATTTTGTCATCTTGCTGCAAATTTTAAAGCCCATAAGGGATATAAACTGATATTCCTGCAGCAAGTTCCTGGATCTTGATTGTGCACTGGCTATATAATCACATGGTTCGGCAAGTGGTTGACAGGAGGGAGAATGGTAATTATTTTTGTTTCAACCTATCTATCACAAGTCTCAGAGGGTTAGCTGTGTTAGTCTGTGTCTGCAAAATAAAAAACAAAACCAAAAACCACCCAAAAATAAGGAGTCCTGTGGCATCAGATACTAACAGATATATTAGGACATAAACTTTTACCCACGAAAGCTTATACCCTAATACAGGCCGTCCCCGAGTTACGCGGATCCGACTTATGTCGGATCTGTACTTACGAACGGGGCTTTTCTCGCCCCGGAGGACGCGGGTGGCGGGACCGCCCAGACGCGCCGAGGTCCCGCTGCCCGCGTCCTCTGGGGCAAGAAAAGCTGCTCCTCGTCTCCCTGGTCTGCTGGGGAGGGCTCCCCAGCAGACCAGGGAGACGCGGAGCAAAGCCACGGAGGACGCGGGTGGTGAGACCGCCCAGACACGCTGCTGTCCC